TTAACTACTGTATATAAAATAGATAAGTAGCAGGGTCCTGCTGTGTAGCATGGGGACTATACTGAATACCTTGTAGTGGCCTATAATGGGGAGTAATATGAAAAGGAATATATAACATACTATATATCATATAATTTAGTATATACCATTATATATTATAATGTATATAATGTATATCATAAAACATTATGCATTATATATTGCATAGATTGATATGTCATATTACATATCTACATTATACACTTGTTTTACATATAGTATGTATTATAATATATAATATAGTATATAATAGTATATAGTATACTATATAGTGTATATTGTATATAGTGAACTATATTATATACTATATGTTGTATATATTATACATGTGTATATATTATATACTATACTGTATATGTACTACTGTATGTAGTATACTATAATATATACAGTACATAATATAGTATATAGTACATATACTATACAATATACATGCTATATAATATATACTATATAGTATCCATAGTATCTATAATATATACAGTATATGTAGTATACTTCAATTAAAAAAGAAAAGATGCTGCTGGAAGAGACTGGCCAGTGATGATGGATGGGCAGTGTGTCTTCCCTGTACAAGCAGGGTGTGCCCTGCTCATTCCAGTCAACACCAGTCCCATAATCCCAATGTGATGGCACTCCCTAAAGATACCCCATTCACTACAACACAACCTGCTCAGTAGGCTGCTGACAGATGCTGCTACTGAAAATATTGTTCTTCGTCTTACTGCTAAATACAAAATAGAGACCTTCTTTAGTACACAGGAAAATTAGTGGCAGGTAAAAATGGAATAAGCATTGCTCACATTTACGTTCAGAAATCAGCCCCTCTATTAACTCAGCATATCTGTGACAAGAGTCCAAATACTACAGCTGAGGTTACAACAGCTTGTGTGTGTACAAAACAGCTAAAGAGACTGACTAAAGGCCCGTGAGTAGTTTGCCTGTGTGCAGTGTTTATGAATGAAGCAATGCAATATTCCATGTCATCAGAACACATGTCTTAAAAGGAAGCTATTAATAACCCCTAGCTATCTCATGAGTTTGTGGAAAGGCTCAAAAGTATGTAGAAAACAAATGTGAGAAAGCACTTTGGGGACAATATGGCAGCATCAGAATATAACAGATCACTTGTCATTGGCATTTATCTACTCTAACTTCCTTAGCAAAGACTGGTGTTTGCATTACTTGGGGTAACTTTAAACCCACTTGGCGATGCCTTTCCTATTTGGAATCTGCCACTATCATTGCGGTCATGTGGCTGAAACCAAACTGGCTCACTTTGCAGGAGACACTTTTTCAGCTTTGTTGCCCCTGCCATGGCCACATGACACCCTGGGAGCATCAGGCCTCTCTCCATGCTGAAGGCTTTGGCAGATGGCACCTTTGGG